TAGCGTTAGTTACCTCTCCAGACGGCACATCCATGTTAGCGGTTCCCATGTCTTCATTGGTGGCAAAGGGAAACGTCAACATCAAGTCATCCGTAACCCCGGTTTCTATCAGTTCTGCGGCTTTGAAGTCCAAACCTCCGATTATTACGCCCTTAAAGATACTTCCGTTGATGGCGTCGACCACTTCTTCGGCAGCGATTTCGGTGCCGTCGATATCCCACTCCAAGAATGTCCAGACACTGATAGCGCCCGCATCGGTGGCCATCAATAAAGGACTCACTAACCAATCGTTCACATCCACTAACACTGGTCTCACATTAATCCCGACCACTATTTCCAAAATTGTCTCTTCGGGTGAACTACTTTCAGAAAGCACTGTCCCATCCGTTGTCGCAAACACTTCCAGTCACACAAACAAAGGTAAAAATGTTTAGTTATTTAATTCAAATAATGTCTTCAATGAATTAACATAAGGTTATACTAAACTAGTCCTCTATTACCTGTAAAATACTGTTCCCATTATTTTATGCCATTTCATCAGATCTTAACAATTAATTGTATTGATTGTGTCATACATTTCAATGCAGTCATTACTTCTATGTGTTATTCATCTTCTCGTTTGAGTCACTTGTGTTCAATAAAAGAGTTTAATATTTATGGGTTTACAAGGATTTGAGTTAAGGACCACTTTATAGGTTTCAAAATCACTTCCTCTCAAAGCTTCTAAATAACAAAAATTCAAAACAGCTTTTCGTTAATAAAACGTTTTTATTGAGAATTGTTTTCAAATTGTGTTTAAATATTACAGTTATTTATAAATTAATTATATGTTTGATAGAAGAGACAGCTGTTAAAACCGAAGACAAATCCCAGTCACCACTTCCTCCTCCACTTTTGGCTCAAAACAGTACTTTTGTAACAAATGCAGTGACAAACTCGCAAACACTAACGCCTCCGGCCTTAACATCGGTGGCCATAAACCCGAACATCAATTCAAACACTGATCAGCAAAACAAGAACAAAGAATCTGAAAATGATTGCAATTCTGTGACCGGAATCGTGGAAATGGATTCTGTGATCCAAATTATGGAATGGAAGGATGGAATCGGAGTTTTGCCCGGAAGTGATCTCAAATTCCGAGTCGACGAATTTGGACACTTGGATATGATTAATGGACAAATCATGGATGCATTGCCTATCACCTCAACCATTACCTCTGCTATAACTTCCACCACTACTTCCACCACTACTTCCACCACTCCTTTGACTAACATTAGTGTCAAAGAGGAAGAGAAGACATCAGATAATACTTCGACACAAATAACTCAAGAATCGGACAAAAATGATGTTTTAATAGATAATAATGAAACGAAAGAAAGCGATTCATTGCTTAAATGTATAAACTGTGGGGAAAGGGGTTCGCCCAACACATTCATAAGACAGGGACGCTTTTGCAGCAAATCTTGTGCCACATTAGCATCAAATGAACTGAAAATTTTTGCCAAAAGAAATTGTGAATTGACTTCACTTAAGACACAACAAGACGACGAGAAAAAGTCTCTAAATAAAAAGCCAGAAGTCATGAAAACTCGGAAACAAGTCTTAGAACCCGTTGTCTATCAGACAGAAAACAGTAACCAAACCATTGAAGGCGACAAAGAAAGCAATGGAGACGCCAATGAAGAAGTGGAAGACGTCGAGACCAATGCCGGTAATTATGTTGAGAATGTGAACAATAGTCCCGCCTTCTCATGGCGTCAATACTTAAACAAAACCAATTCAACGGCCGCTCCGATCAAGTGCTTCAACGAAAGTCAAACATTTCCCACAATTAAGAATAGTTTTAAGGTCGGCATGAAGTTGGAAGGGGTTGACCCCCAACACCCCTCCAAGTTCTGCGTCCTATCGGTTGTCGAAGTCTGTGGTTTCAGAATACGATTGCATTTCGATGGATATAAAGAAGTCTTCGACTTTTGGGTCAATTGTGACAATAATTTCATATTTAGTGCCGGTTTTTGTGAACAAACGCAACGAAAATTAGAGCCACCCGTCGGTATCACTGCTGAAGAGTTCAATTGGAATACGTATTTGCAACAGACGAGGGCAGTGGCGGCGCCCAAACACCTCTTCGTCATCACTAGCTCTCAATCTCTTACTCCGAATGGTTTTCGAGTGGGAATGAAATTGGAAGCCGTCGACAGAGCCAACACAGCCCTCGTATGTGTGGCCACTATCGCCGATATAATCGACAATTGGCTTCTCATTCATTTCGATGGATGGGATGATAGTTACGACTATTGGGCCGAAACTACTTCTCCATTCATTCACGCAATTAATTGGTAAATTCCGGCAAACTTTATATGATTTACGTTTAATTAAAACATGAATCGATTTATTTCAGGTGTCGAACAAAAGGTCGGTCTTTAACTCCACCGAAAGACTATCACCGGTCGAGTGAGAAGTTCTTGTGGGATGAATATCTATCCGAAACGAAATCACACGCTGTCTCTCCCCGTCTGTTCAAAACCCGGACATCAAATAACTTCAAAGTTGGCCTCAAATTTGAAGCGATTGATAAGCGTAACCCACGATTAGTACGGGTCTGCACTGTATCGCACCGACAGTCGCATTGTATTAAACTTCATTTCGATGGTTGGGATGAAAAATACGACTATTGGGTAAGAAATGGATTTCTTATTTCAATATTCACTTATTTATTCAAACATTTGTTTGCTTTCAGGTGGACGACGATTCTCCAGATATACATCCAGTGAATTGGTGCCACAAAACTGGTCATCATTTACAGCCACCCCCTTCTTCGGGTAATTCAAACACAGCTCTTCGCACAGAATGTATAGATTTATAATTTCTATGAACGATATCTTTATTTACAATAGATTTTATGGCTGTAAAAGATAACGAAACGATGTCTTTCTGTCCGACACCGGGATGTCTAGGAATTGGTCACATTCGGGGTCCCAAATATTTAAGTCATTACTCAGTGCACGGCTGTCCCTATACTGACGCCAGACTCGAGTATGAATTGCCGGATAGACTCGGAAATAGAAATTCCGAAGCAATCACCACCGAAGACATGGATGACAGCCAAATATCTCCCTCACAGTCGCCCTCCCCTTCCGAATCAAATTCTATAAATTCGACCCAAAAATGTCCAAAAAGTGTCAAAACCAGTCAACTATCGTCGGGTAGTAAATGTCGAAAACGCAAACTCGGTTCGAGTCCAACGAACGGCACTAACGGCGGACCCGTCTCTCCGAGCACTAACTCAGAGTCGGCCAAACACTCGCGTCCGTCAACGCCCTCATCCATAACCAACTTGTCTTCACTGCAACACTCGATATTCGCGATGCGAATGAGTCAACAACAACAGGAGGCGCCCGTCTGTTGGGACCGACACTCCAAGACTACATTACCCGGTATTGACAAAACCAAATCCAAGGATGTCTTGTTGTGGTCGCCCTCCAAAGTGGCCGAATTCATAGACCAGATCCCCGGTTGCGAAGCCGTCGGACAAATATTTGCAGAACAGGTATTGCTCTCTACTATTCACTATCAATAGTGTGTTAATTATTAACATTATCTAAATCTATGGAACAGCTCATCGATGGCGAGGCGTTTCTGTTGCTCAATCAGAACGATATCGTAAAAATACTTGGCCTTAAGTTAGGTCCGGCCATAAAGATCTTCAACAGCATTCTCGTCATCCGCGACAATGCCATCAATGAAGATAATCTCTAAAAGTGATCACTAAATCCCATCTAATGTCTCAATAAATATTGTAATTAGTTTCTATGAGAGCGCTCTTCGGTTCTTCTCAACACTTTTTTCTAATCAATGAATACTTGTATTAAATATATCCACGAATTGATGTCTCAATAAATTCAGTGTTTAATGAATAAGAAAAAAATCACTCATATATTCAATCAAAAAACTACTTTATTTTAATGACATTTAAATACAAAACAATTTTAGTCGAGTTTCTTGAATCCAATTTGATCGGCGTATTGACGGAAGCATCGCCGGCAGATGTTGAGGCCATACTTGCGGATCAATCCGTGGTGATTGCTGCAGACACGGCTGAAGAGAGACAACAATCACATTATAATCACATTGTATGCACACAAACCACTCATTACTCACCAGTATCGACTTCCGGCGCCATATTTGCGGGGATGGCTGTACCATATGTTGTTGTGTCCCATATTTGCTGATTTGATGCACTTCTTGGGCCACAAAGACAGTGATTATTGGATCAAATGTTGTGATTGAATGCAATTGAAGTCAAAGCACACGGAAAAGGAAGTACACATAGAATCGCGGCTAACACTGCCGTCAATGAATGACGTCCACTATATATACAGCACTCCATTGCAAACCCCTTTCTCTGACCCGACGTTTACACCAATTTTGCAATCAATTATCAATTGATCGCTTCATTTGAACACTAGTTTATAATTATTTGATTTCTAATATTTAATGTAATTTAAAGTTAATTTTGTTGTCAAAAAGAGACGAAAATAAACAATTAATGAAAAATAAATGTCAAAACACATAACGCATGACAAAAAACGCGATTTTATCGACATTTTATTGAACTTTTTATAACTTTATACAATTGTTTTTGCAAAAAAAACAGTAACACAGGTGTAGAGCATATTCTCGTTAATATATCACAGTATTAATAATATAAATATATTAAATTTAATATGTAATTAAAGTGTGAATTGTTTAACTGACGATTAATTGAACCAAAAGTTGTGTCAGTATTTCATACAATAAGTGGAAACTTGAGTGTAAAGCATAAAAGCGTTGTAAAGAAGCTGACATTGAATTCAATATTCAGTTATTATACGTTTGTTAACAATCCATAAGAATATGTTTGTCGAGTACTTAACTGTATATTAAATAGTGTTTTATATGAAAGCTATAAGAATTGTGAATTTAGTACAAGAATTGATTTTTAGATATATTTCAATCGTTATATCGTTTGCAGACATTCTGTATATTATTGTCGTTTTCTATTTAATGTGTTTAAACCGAAATTCATTACCAATACATCCATTGACTATAGATTTAAATAAATATGAAAATTGACTCAATTCTTGTTGAATGTGTCGTTGTATGCAATGTTGTCACTAATTGGACACAATATTGGCACTGAATCCCAATTCAATTTTAATAATAATATTAAAAATAGTGTGAATTTAAACGAATTTAAGAGATCAGCGATGAATAGATACGTAACGCTGAGCCAACTCGGAGACGGCACCTATGGATCAGTACTTTTGGCCCAAAGACTCGACAACGGAGACAAAGTGGCCATCAAAAAGTATATTCACATTCATTTTCATTTACCACTAAAACTCATATTTTTATTCAATTTAATTCATAAGAATGAAGAAAAAATATTATTCGTGGGAAGAATGCATGAATCTTAGAGAAGTGAAAGTGAGTATCGGTTCTCATTAACCCTTTCATGCCTTTTATATTTAGACTATAATTAATAGTTTTGTCCCACTTTTATAAACATGAATAATAAATTCATTTTCGGCACTGACCCACATATCCCTATCAATTGTATACATATTTTTAACTTATATTTTATTTATTACTAACGATACTAAAGAAGATTCTGTTGACTTTAATTTGTTTGCTTTTCATATTCTGTATATTTTGTGATTGCATTTCTTTATCTAACTTTAAGATTTTATTTTAACAAACGATTTTGATTTCTGTCCTAAAAATAATGTTTTTTGTTATATAAATAATGTAATGTAATGTCAATTATCCCATTATTAGCAGACGAGTAAAATCTTCACCAAATTATCCCAATGTTATTAACAATAAGTTGTTGCCATTGGAGACATGCATTGTGTTATTCAAACATCGTTTTTGTTAACTTTACATTAAAAGCTAATCTGAATTTTTATTAATTCTGTCCAAAAATACGTTTTGCTCTTTAATGAGCGTAAAAGGCCTTCAAATGACTTGAAAAATGACAAAAGTTAGTGATGTTGAAGGAGTGAAGGGCTGACCAGCGATAAGCGCTTTTCTTTTATCTTATTCTTATAATTACGACAGAATATCTAATTTGATTGATTTCTATGCAATTATTTATATATCATTTCATAAGAAATTAAATATAAAGAAAACAATGTTTGTCTTAAACTTATTAAAAGAAAAGTACATTTATTAATATAATTATTTTTGATAATATTATGGATGCAAACAATATTTTTGTTATAAACACATTGATTAAACATTAATAGAGTAAGAAATTAATTATGAAACTCGTGTTATTTAATTGTATGAAAACAAATTCAAAGCCGCAGAACTGATAGAAACCGGGGTTACGGATGACTTGATGTTGACGTTTCCCTTTGCCACCAATGAAGACATGGGAACCGCTAACATGGATGTGCCGTCTGGAGAGGTAACTAACGCTATGTGACTATTTATCTGCCAATCAAATAATCTATGAGTTGACGACATTGTGATGATTGAGTCAATCACTTACGGGAATCATTTTATTTATGCCATATTTAGCGCCAGATATGGTTGAATTGACCGAAGAGTCCGCGGAAGTGGTTATGATTACAGTTTGGGTTTTATCTAAGTTTGAGCCAAAATACAATTCAATCTTTTTGAGTACTTTGTCTAACAATAAGTTATATAGTGTTTTACCGGCGATGGTCTCGGGTCTGATGGGAATGGAAGAAGTGGTTGCGATAGGTTTGGGGGCAATCATACGGTTATTACTGGTAATGGTAGTCATGTTGGGCCGTATTTCAGTGCTATTGCTTTTGCATGTATTCAATGTATTGCTTTGCTTTGGAATATCATTGATAGCGTGGGGAACAGCACTGACCACATCTGCGCCCGATTTGACACCGCTTTTGTCGGCACCGGTCAGAGTCACCACTGGATCTATTGATGTCATATCAGTTACATTAACCAAAGTTGCATTACTTATGTCTGAACCACATTCAGGCGCTATAGACATCACAAATTGTGATCAACTCTTCTATGATATCACTTCCAGTACTATAGTGTCTGAGTTTATCGATTGATAAGAGTTTTCCTTTAAGGAGAAAAAAGTTATGATATTTAGCGAAGAAATCAATGAAACGAATGAAGAGTTGATGAAAGAGGGAGAGAGAGNTTCTATGATATCACTTCCAGTACTATAGTGTCTGAGTTTATCGATTGATAAGAGTTTTCCTTTAAGGAGAAAAAAGTTATGATATTTAGCGAAGAAATCAATGAAACGAATGAAGAGTTGATGAAAGAGGGAGAGAGAGAGGGAGAGCGAGAGAGAGTGTGCGAGAGTGAGAGAGGGGGAGAAAGGGATGATTTGTTGAGGCAATTGTGTGTGAGATTGGCTTCTCTTCAATACACCGATATATAGTGTATGCAATGTATGTGTACTTCAATACTGTACAATAGCACACAATACATACCAAACGGTGTTAGCGTTGAAAACTAGTTTAGAGAATCGGCAAACTGTGTGCACACAACCGGACACCACTCCGATCCACACTTTCACCCCTTATAACCATTAATTGTAATTAATATTCAATTACTTACAAAATCAATTGAACGCGAGGTTTGAGTTTTCGAAGTAACTTAACTGGCTAGTATTAAAATAAAGCGATTAATGTAGCATGCGCACATGCACCCATTCTTCATTTTTCACTC